CCCTCTGGCCCCCCCCCCCCCCCAGTCGCATCAGTCTCTGTACAGAGGAGCTTACACTCATGTCCCCTCCCCCACAGTCACATCAGTCTCAGTACAGAGGAGCTTACACTATAATGTCCCCTCCCCCCCCACAGTCACATCAGTCTCTGTACAGAGGAGCTTACACTCTAATGTCCCCTCCACAGTCACATCAGTCTCTGTACAGAGGCACTGACACGGCTGGATGTCACTAGCTCTATTTCTGGTTCATTATGGATGCAGCTTCCAGTTAGATGGGTAAAACATACACCTTGGACATGGAGCTCCGGTGGGAAGTGAAGCCAGGACCGCAGCGCTGCAAAAGGTACATAGCATGCAGTGTTGCCCACTCACATGACAGAAGATCATGGCCTGCGCGATGGTGATGGAGCTGTATATATTGCACAGGGCCTTGAATTTCTCCTCGCGGCAGTTGCAGAGTACATAATACTGCTTGATGGTGTCCAGGGTTTCCTCTTCCCTCTTCAGTTTGATGATGTTGGGCTCGGGAACCACTTTCTGGGCAAACTTCCAGACCGAGTCTTCAAACGTGGCCGAGAAGAGCAGCATCTGGCAGTCCCGGGGTAACATCCTGCGAGGCAACAGGTGGCGTTAGATCTCCGACACAGACAAGCCCCCCCAGAGACAGGATTGCGGCGCTGGGCAGGGAAGACGCACGCCGGCTTCCCCATCATTGCTCGTCCGCTGGGACATGTAGTCCAGGAGACTGCAGTGACATCGCATGGAAGCCACGCCTGCCTCAGCTTAAGACCCCGCCCACAAAGCAGCAATTTATTTCATTCTGGGGCAAAACTGGAGCTTCTGACTCGATACACATTCCTGTTAGGGGCGGAGTCTACAAGCCACGTTCTCTAAGGGGCCCGGAGTCCAGATGTTGGAATTTAGAGAACTATGAGGCGAGTGCTTTTCTCTCATCCTCATAGTTCTAGCCGACCTGTGACAATGAGACTGTCACAGGTCGGCTCAGTAGATCGGGAAGTGAGCGAACACACACCGGCGTTCGCTCACCTCTCGATCTTGTCACAGCACAGAGCCGTGACAGAGGAGGGGGCTGGATTCCCCGCTCTGATCCTCCAGCGCTGACTGGCGGAACGGACGGGGGAGGAGGCGGGTACAGCTGGCTCTGCCTCTAGATAGGCAGAGCCAGCTGTCACTCACGCAGCTGGGCGGATCCAGACATAATTGTCGGGATCCGCTTCAGCTGCGGCGTCTCAGTATACCGCGATCTGTAGCTCCCTATATACTGAGCTCAGGGTGACGGGAGGACGCTAGTTTGTGTCCTCCCGTTACCCTGAGGAGAACTATGGGGAAAAACACTGACCCCATAGTTCTCCTTTAAGCCGATTTCTGTTACATACAAATCCAGAGCAGACATAAAAATTGTACAGCGGCGGCGCTCACCTCTGGATGCGGATACTCTGATCCTGGTGGCCCTGCGTAGCGATCATGACATCCGCTTCGTCCAGAACAAACACTTTGATCTTCCTGGGATCAATGAACTTCAGCTTGGAGCACCAGTCCAGCACCGTGCCGGGGGTCCCGATGACGATCTGCTCCGGGAGCTTGTATCCGCGCTCCACTGGGAATAAAGGAAAAGGACAGGTACACAGGCGGAGGGGGGCACCTGCCATACGAACGAGGGGCA